TGATGATAGCAGAGCACTAATATGGAACCCAAGGCTGCTCCCTTGCTACCATGATATTTATGCGACTCTTTTCTCTGTTATCTAGTGTAGACGTTTAAATATATGGGGTAAGTACATGCACCCATATACACACATACATACACACAGGCATGCACACATACACATGCACACGCACACACCCATATACACACACACAGGCATGCACGCATAACACATATGCAACACATACACATACAGGCATATACACACGTGCACACACACACACCCATACCTACATACATATCACACACACAGATATGCAAACACACATGCACATACATTCATACAGATATACACATGCACACACACATATGCACACATACACACTTACGACCCATACACATGGGTTCTTACCCAAATGAACCGCCTAATTTATACCAAATGGAAAGCTGATGTTTAGATGCCTTTTTTTGATTTTTAAGTGGTTTAAAGACACTCTTTGAGGCTAGCCAGTGATCTGTCAGTTATCAAGTAACACCATGGACAACATCTTTTGGTCTTCCTTTTCTTTTTCCCTGTGCCAGCAGGTACTTTGGGTTCAGATTCAAAAGTCATTATGTAGTTTGTTTAGGGGCAACAGCAGTGCAAGAGTTTTGTTTGATCTCAAGACTCTGGAGGACTCGAAGCTTTGGAGATAGGTATGAGTCCAGCCAATGGCTCGCTTGGGGCAAGGCCGGTCCCTCTGTTTGTATGTCTGGACCATCTGATGAATGGCCTATTGCTGATTAAATATGGTGCTGATGACATCACCCTAACAGGCTCAACCACTTTCCTGGCTGATCAGCTTCTTGCTAAGAAAAAGCACATTCCTTACTCCAGCTGGACTGCAGAGAGGACCAGAAGGAAGAGTATACACTGATCAAAGAGTCCAGCCACCAGCCCGGGATCAACAGTCATCCCCAAACAGAAAAAATGGCCCTTGCTTTCAAGCTCGGTGAAAAGGTTTCCCAGGCCCTGGAGGAGCCCAGAGTCCGGCCACCGAACGCTGTGAGAGTACTGACGCACCGGTGCTCATTACATGGTGACTGGAGCTACCTCTCCAGGCACTTCAAAGCAATACCTCCCCCTCTGGAGTCTCTTATAACTGCCAACAAAGTAGACTCGATGAGCCCAGCTCAGCAAAGACCAGGCTGACAGCAGGTGTGAGTCTGGCATTTGCGAAACCTAAGAAGCACGCAACTCAAGGCATTGAGTAGCCTGTCCACCTCGACTGCCTGTCATTTATCAGATGCCTGCAGCACGGAGTCATTAAGCTTCTCATTGCTGAATCTTCGTTTTTCTTCTAAACTCTAGTGCTCAAGGGACTGATCAGGCTTCCTAGGTTGCGAAAGAAAGAGAAGCCACTTTTCTAAATATGGAAATGAAAATGTCATTTGATCTCTTGCCATAGCCTACAAACAATTTCAATTAGTGAAGCTTTGAGTGTCTTTCCTGCGTTTGCTGAGAGAGGCTCCCAAGAGGCTGTAGCAGAGGGAGGCAGGCAGCAAGTCTACAGTTAACTGTTCTTCTAATGGAAACCTTTCTTTACATTATTACCGGGCTCAAGACAAGTCAGTACTCAACGGCCTTGCCGTGGAATTCCGAGGAGTCTTACCTTCTCGCCGATCGTTTCTGAGGACCCGGACTTTCTCGATTTTCCCCAAGAGAGCACCGTCCTCAGCTGGGAAAAGAAAAGAAGCAGAGCGTTTTGAGCCTCAAGCTTGTCAGGGGCTCTGCGTTCAAGCAGCAACTCTTGACCATTTTACAGCCAGTGACCTCCTCGGGCATCACAGAGGTGCCCCCTTTCTGCAGCCCCGATGTCTGGCCTTTTCATTAGCACCGCATAGCACCCAGAAGGCCAAGCATGGGGGAGGAACCGGCCTCAGTACTTACGGTCATTGCTGTAATCATCCACCAGGACGATTTCTTTTATCAGGTGGGGTGGGCTTTTCTTCAGCACACTGCGAAAAGACAGAAAGAGCAAGAGTGTAGGCCTTTCAGAAGCATCACTTGGGTTGAAAATGCTCATATTTTGGCCCCAATCCTTGGCTGAGGAGCCATCGGCCTCTCCTTGTACTGTAGTCAGGTGACCCCCAGCCTGGCTGGGTGGGAACATGGTCTGCGTGCAGCACCCCTCCCAGGGAACACCCTCTGTGAGCTGCAACAGGTGGGCAGTGGGTGGCAGCTCCTGGCCTCACCTGACCACTGTCCTGAGCAGGGCCGACCTAGCTTCATTGTGAAACGTGATCACCACACTGGTGGCCGGCAGGTCCACCCGCCACTGCTTCCGCTGACACCTGAGGAAGAGAAGGATCATCCTCTGAACAATGGACCCAGACCAGCCTCGGCCAGGCCCCTGGGGAGCACACGCAGGCTGGCCCCCCAGGACGGACATTCTAGGGTGAACCTGTTGTCCGCAGAAGGTTCTGGCCTATTCTGAGATAAAGTGACAATGGGACAGAAGGAAACAGAACACCACAACCAGGGTTAGTGTTTTACAAGATGAAAGATTTCAGCGAAAAGTAACATTTGAGAACATCTTTCTAACATGTTGAAAAAAGTGTTTTGAAACAGTGAGATCTATTTCCTGCCACATGCAGACACACCTCAAGACACGTGCTCCTGGCAATTTGCAGTGGTTATGCTGCTGCTCTCTCCTCATTTCCCACTTTGCCTGCAGCATGTGTGAAGAACTCCTGTGCCTCTTCACAGAGCTGTTATTTGCAGCCTGGCACAATCCATGGACTGCTCTCCCATACCCTAGACAGAGGGGTGCACGTCCCTCACCCTGCCAGGCTAGCTCCCAACACCGTAGGTGACAGTGGTGTAAGCTGGTGCGGGTGAGGGACGGATGGACGGGAAACTCAGCCCGGGAGCTCTGTTGAGAGAGGCCTGGACTGCCTCGGAATAAAGCCATTCAGGGAACAGGCCTGCAAGCTATGGGTCGGTCACAATAAGGCACTTCTCATCGACACAATGAGGCCTGGTCTGTACACACACACAACCGGCAGGGCACGGAACAGTAATTGAAGACGACGACTCGGATACCTCTAGGCTGGACAAGCTGAAGCAGCATCCACCAGAGACAGAAATGGCCAGTAAAGGGAGGACCGGGTTAGCAGAGCCCACGAGGGACCTTGAGGGCCGCCTCTATGGACCTGAACACGCCAGCAGAGAGGTGACGTTCCAGGGGTCCCCGAGAGAATGCTGTAGCTGGCGAGGACCCTGGAAGTAGTCCCAGTGTGGTTTGAGGGCATTCAGAGTCACCAATCTAGTGACACTACTGATGCCAGCTCAGAAGAGGCTTGGACAGATGCTAGAACATCTTTGTCCCTAGGAAACAGTTCTTGGCCAGTCAGGTTAATACCCGAAATGGAGAGGGTGGAAAAGTCTTGCTGTGAGCCTGTAGTAGGGCAGGCACCTGTCACTCAGTCCTATGACAGGTCCCTCCATGCTGGCAGGCGTGACCTGTGAGCATACCCTCAGCTCAAGCAGTTATACACGCTGCCGCTGGGACCCGAGACGCCGAAACCTTCCATGGCGCCACAGCATTACAAAAACCTGCTCCTCAGCACTTCGTGCAGTTCAGCACAGTCGTGAGCGACCTGCTCCCAGAATTAACAGTGTCTCTTGAATGAGAAGTCAGTGGGACAAGGACACAGGTGTTTTCAAGCCCTGGAGCTCGGCCATGCCCAAGCATTCAAGCAGTCCAGGACCGAAGTGGAAGTGGGAGCAGGGCCTGGAGAGTCCGCACGCACACGCGTAAGAGACACGGTCAGCAAACGCTCATCCTCCCTCCTGATGGGGAAAACTACTTCAGAGACGCAAATTCTGAAAATGAGCAAGAATATCGCTGCAATTAAAAAGCAATTAGGTCAGAATCACAAAATGGGCTTCCTATGGATAGCTTGATTTTAATTAATCACAAGGAAACTGTGTAACATACAGTTGCTGCTTGGGGGAAAACGCTTTCTGGAAGTAATATCGTTCCTCATTAGAGCTCCTGGCGGCTGAGTCTTTAAGGACAAGCAGACTGACTGACAGGCTAGTTTTATTTTTCCAGTTTCGAGAATTAGCTGATTGTTCTATCAAGGATAAGAATCTGCCCGGGTCAACTGTATGTACACAAACTACCAAAGAGTGTGGTCACTCCCCAGCACTGTGATGTGGAATGCTAATGAAAAGAGACATCAGGGAGCCCTGTCTTCTACTGCGAGGGCCCCCAGCACAGAGGGGATGCCAGGACCAGCACATGACCTCCGCGGCTCTGAGCGCCAGCCTGTGCAGCCCCGTGAAGATTAGACAAGGAGAATGAAGATTTTTCATGCTCAAACTAGTCAGCATAGCAGACCCCATCATGTCTGTTCGCTCTTCCTCTCCTCTGCGGGACGCTTCTCAGTGCTCTGCAAACACTTCTCAGGACACACAGAGAGGCTGCTCTCACATTTTACTAAAATTCTTCAACATACATATTCATACGGCACCAGGCTTTGCTAGGAGTCTGCAGAGCTGTGAGAAGTGCACCTATGTTAAGTGAAAACTGAGAAGCTTGTTGCATGCCACGACGTAGCATGTCCTCACGGGGGCCAAGGAAAGGGGGGCATGGAAGAATTTCTTTAAAAAGAAACAGAATGAATGTTGGTGTAAAGAGTTGTAGTGCTGCCACGCGACCTTGACTGCTGCACAGCTGGTGGAAGCCACCCAATAAAGAAGACATGGGGGGCTGTGGGCCGTTCATACTCAGGCTTCCTTTGGGAATCGGGTAGAAAGTGTCCTTCATTTGAAATCAGCAGCAGGGAGAGTTGGCAGGAAGTTTTTTCTCTCTTCCAGTACAATGCTGAGGCCGGGGCTGTGGGTCAAGTTCATTCGGGTCTCGAGGCACGGGTATGGCAGTGGTCATTCTGGGACCGTAAAAACTGGACACAAACATTTTTTAAAAAAATCCTTAATGTAGGTTTAAATTTCTCTGAGGCCACAAGGCTATCAATATGCGAACTCTTGAAAGGATGGAAAAACTGGCTGATCTCAGCAGCAATCTGCCCCTCAGCCCTCAGGGTGAGAGTGACTGTCCCCAAAGACTTGATGCAGATGTCACACTTCAGGCTGATCAAGACACTGAGGAAAACATCAAGCGCACGTCTTGTCTTCTGACTGGCAGGCTAGGGGCTCCACAGCACAGAAGGCTGTTCATGGTGAGCAGAGAAATACAGAAATGCGTCTTTGTCTGTGGAAACACTGCTTACTAATTGTGTCATCTGAGGCTCTGTCTGTGGAAACACTGCTTACTAATTGTGTCATCTGAGGCTCTCATACCACAGGTGAGAATCTGTGAAAATGGCCTTACAATCCTGCATGGTTATTGGGAACATCAAATAAAAATGTATGAAAAAGGACTCTTAAGACTGGAAAGGTCCCTGTAATTCTAAGGCAGGCTTGTAATACACATTTGGCAGCTGTGTGTCACCGGGGACTGTCATCATGGAAGTTAGACTGAAACTTTCTCTAGTAACGTGAAAATGGGGCCAACAAGATGGGCCCGAGACATGCGTCTGAACGCACACACCAGGCTCCGAAGGGAGAACTGCACGGTCACTTAGAGGACGAAGGATTCCTAGGCCTGCAGAAAAGGTCAGGTGATGGAGAGGCAGGGGAGATGGAGAGGCACATGCCAATGAAAGAGAGCACCAGGACCTCACGAGGTCTGGCGGGAAGGGGCTCTGGGCCAAGAGCAAGACCACGCTGGCTGCAAGGTGGCCGTGGTGACCACACGAAGGGTACGGGATGCAGCGACATGGGACAAACACCAGTCCATCTCCCGGAAATGCCCCTTAACTCAGATTTGTAAGGAAAATGCTAAGCAGCTTGATTAATTAGTAGTTAAGCATTATGTTAATTAATTAAGCATTATCAAGGAAGAAATGAGAAATGTACACATTTTACCAGACTAAAAAAAAGGAAGGTTAAAAGCATCATTGAGCCTGCGTGGGCACGTTCAGGGTGCTGGCCCCTCCTGGACTTTAGCAGGGATTCCACAGGCGTCCCCAGAGAGGGATGTGAGGGCTCCACCACCCCAAGCATTCAACGCCCAACCCATGTCCTGATTATGAATTGGGAGTCCCGTGTAGGAGGACACCAGATGTCAGCCTCCACAGCAGGGACCATTTCCTACGTGTCTGCAGGAAGGCGTCCAGCTGTGTCTTGGCTTCCCGTGTAGACGCAAGGGGAAACAGTGCCTGAGTCATGCGAGGCAATGGTATTTGAAGACTGGAGTTGCTGTCCTATGTATTTCTCTTTACAAATGATTAAAATTTTGGATTCATGCAATCTGTGACTTTAGTTTGAGTCTGCCCCTGGTAGACAAATCTAGCTTTGATCTGCAGACAATAAAACAAAGCTGGGCAGAAAAAACCAAAAACAAATAAAACAAGCGGTTAAAAAAAAAGGATTCTGGGTTTGCAAAGCTAAGGTCAAGTCTCGGACCAGGATATATTCACCATGGTAACCAGCCTCTCGCGGCCTCCTGGGGAGAAAGGCAGTGCGCCTGCTTTTTCCAGGCAAGCTCACCAACACCAGCATCATTGTGTGTACATGTGTGTGAAATATTTCAAACATAAAGTCTAGAGAACAGTATACAAGCATCCATGCATCCCCATTCAGCCTTATCAAATCTTAATATTTTGCAACATTGGCATTCAATTCACTTTAAAATGAAATCCAACACGATCTTTGAAAGTTAGTCCCTTTCTTGTCCTTCAGCCCAACCCCCGCCTTCACCAGGGCAGCCACCAACCTGAACATGGCACTTCACTATTGGCTGCATTTGTTCCAAGGACCTTCCAGTTTTCTTGCTAGAGTGGGCAGGGCCTCTCTTCCTGCCCCACTTATAACAGCCCGTTCCTGGTGCTGGTTTTTGCATGTGGACCCTGTACTCTCATTGAGCTCTTTTCTTAGTCCTGATAGTTGGTAAGTTCTCTTGGATTTCCCACTCATCCATTCATTTACACTTTTCCTTTTCTTTCCATTTCTTACACATTTACAGCTCAAGTCTTAACAAGGCACTGGTTGTGGCCTGAAGTATAATGTGCAATAAAAAAGTAAGTAGACAACCTCCCTGCTTTGGTCCCATCTAAAGTGAACACAATTCGACTTTCATCATGACGTTTG